GTTAAGTGTGGTGGCACATGTCTGTAATCCCAACAGTTTGGGAGGCTGAGGCAGGAGGATCAAGAGTTCAAAACCAGTCTCAGCAACTTAGTGAGGCCCCAAGCAACTCACTGAGACCTTGTCTCTAAATAAAATATTAAAAAAGGCTTGGAATGTGACTCAGTGGTTAAGCACTCCGGGGTTCAATCTCTTGCCCCCCCCCAAAAAAAAACCCCTTTTATTCTTTTATCTTTTATATGCGGTCCTTTACTCCAGGCTTCAATATCCTTCCCCAGATCTCCATGTAAGCATTCAGGAGCTCAGCTCACCTTGCCCAGGTCTCTCTCATTCTCCTCAGTGAGAACCAGCATGTGACAGAATCAAAAGCCCTGCAGGTGGGAGCAGGACATTGTGGCACATGTCTGTAATCCCAGCCACTCAGGAAGCTGAGACAGGAGAACCCTGTCTCAAAGAATAAAAAGGGATGGGGATGTAGTGGTAGAGCAATCTCTAGTACCAGAGCAGGTGGGAGGAGGTTCTACAGTAGGAGAAGGTAGAGAAGAGGAGAGAGGCCCACAGGGTGGTGCACACCTGTAATACCAACAATTTGGGGGCTTGAGGCAGGAACATTGTAAATTCCAGCCAGCCTCCGCATTTTACCAAGGCCCTAAGCAAATGAGCAAGATCCTGTCTCAAAATACAAAATAAAAAGGGCTGGGGATATGTGGCTTAGTGGTTAAGGCATCCCTGTATTTAATCCTCAGCACACACACAGAACAAAAACAAAAACAAAACCCCCCACAAAAACCTGAGTTGTTTTTCTATTTCTCAATCTTATTGTTCAGTGTACAGATTCTTGACCATGACCATGACCATGAGCATGCTCATGTTCCTTTCATAATTATAGAAAATACTACATTTTAATAGTTTAACTAGTACGTAAAAACTCAACCTGTTTATCTCTTTCTTTGGGAGCTCTTGAACTTTCCAACTAACTTTGGGGAAAAGGCTTTCCTGTTAGAAAATTTGCAACCATGGCAAATATTTCTCTGGCACACAGATAGGTTTTGTAAACAGCTACAGATATTTCAGAATCCTGTTTATCCAAGGACCATATACCTTTGAGTTGCTTCCCCTACTAACTGTCTGGCCTAGCCTTGTGTTTAACCTTCATTAGCAGAAGGGGCACGGCCAGGGCAGATGGTAGGCAGCATGCACTCTCCCTGCCACCCATCTTTATCCTTCCTGTCACTAAAGAAAAACATTCAGGGCTGGGGTTGTAGCACTTGGCTACCATGTGTGAGGCAGAGGGTTCGATTCTCAGTACTACATAGAAATAAATAAAACTTAAAAAAAAAAGGTGGTGGGGGGGAACATTCACTTGGTTTGGACATGAATCAAACCTACAATTAACCTTCCTTCCTTCCTCCCTCCCTCCCTTCCTTTCTTCCTTCCTTCCTTTCGAGTCCTGGCCACATTAGGACCTCATGCATGCTGGACAAGTGCTCTTATCACTGAGCAGTATGCCCAGCTCCCAGAACCTAAAATCTCACAATTTTTTTAGTATATATATTTTTTAGTTGTTGACAGATTTATTTTATTTATTTATATGTGGTGCTGAGAATCGAAGGCCCCAGTGCCTCACACATGCCAGGCAAGTGTGCTACTGCTAATCCTCAGACCCCCCCCAAATTTCACAATTTTAGTAAATTGTGAAAAAAATGTCAGAGGCACTTGGGGGTCACTCAGCAGTGGAGCACTTACTTACCATATGGGAGTCCCTAGTTGGATCCCTAGCACTGCAAGAAAAAAAAAAGGAAAAAAAAGGTCACAATTTGACTCTATTTGAGATTCTGCTGAGCTTCAGACTTGAGCAGACTTTATAGTGTCTCTTAACCTTTCTCACACTTAATGTGTTTGTCAGGAAAATGCAGTGTGGCAAAACCGAAATCAAATTCACTTTATAATGCACCCAATCCTATTGCTAGGGAATAATCCCTGAACTTCCTGAATCTGAGGCAAGGGCTTTACCATTGAGCTTCATCTTCCAGCCCCATCCCTGACACTTAAACCCTTAGACTTTAGGTAACTAAACAATACTGTCTGATGCTTTGTGGCCTGTTCCCAGAGGTCTTATCCCCCACCCCAAAACACATACTGCACTATGATTAAGCAAGAAAAATAAAGAAGAGAGAGTGACTTTCAGAGATTAATTTATAATCTCTATATTTGAGAAACAGAATTTGAGACATTCCAAGGTAGGCCTGTTGAGGTCCTCAACAAGAAAGTGTTTGTTTTCTAAAACAGTAGAAGGTAATGAAATTCAACAATGACATACTTCACAACTATAAAAAAAAAAAAAAAAAAGAGGATAAAGGGATAGCCAGGCATGGTGGCCCACACCTGTAATCTCAGCTGTTTGGGGGGCTGATGCAGGAGGATGGCAAGTCCCCAGTAAGCCTGGGCAATTTAGTGAGATCCTGTTTAAAAATAAATAAAAAGGGCTGGCATATGGCTCAGTGGAGAGCACTTGACTAGCATTCATAAGTCCCTGAGATCAAGCTCCAGTATCTAAAAATAAAAAATAAAAAACATTATGAGGATCTCAGGATTTAGCTCTATGGTAGATCACTTACCAAAAATGTGTGGGATTCTGAATTCAATTCTAGTACTGCAAAACCAAAAACAGAATTTTTTATTTACTAATTAAAAATTGTGCATTTCACTGGGTGCAGTGGTTTATGCCTGTAATCCCAGTGACTTGGGAGGCTGAGGCATGAGTATTGCAAGTTCAACGTCAGCCTCAGCAGCTTATGAGGGCCTAAGCAACTTAGTGAGAACTTTTCTCAAAATAAAAAGTAAAAAGGGATGGACATGTGGCTCAGTGGTTAAGTGTTCCTGCGTTCAAGCCCCAATACCCCCCCAAAAAGAAGTGCATTCCAATAATTTTGAACAACAAAAAAGGCATTCTATTGAAAATAACATCTGATTTAAAGCTATTTAAAGCAACAGCACATCTTGGACAAGTTTGGATTTTATTTAGATTTCATCTTCATCCCACACAACTTCTTCCTTCACCAACATGCAAGTTCTTTTTCTTCCCTAGCTCCGAGACAAGCAGATGGACAGGGTAGGGCCTTCCTTGACAGTAGTTCTAGATTCTTTGGAGCGAAAGGAACAGCATGGTCATTTAACCTTGATCCAGTCACAAGTTCCTGGCCAGCCTGAGCAACTTGGGGAGATCCTGTCTTAAAAAATGAACAAAGCGGGGCTGAGGCTATGGCTCAGTGGTAGCACACTTGCCTAGCATGTGTGAGGCACTGGGTTCGATTCCCAGCACTACATATAAATAAATAAAAAATAAAGTTCTATCAACAACTAAAAGAATATAAAAAAAAAAAATGAACAAAGGGATGGGGACAGATTGCTCACGTAGAGGGGTAGAGCATTCCAGGGTTTGATACAGAGTACTGCCTGCAGGCACATGCAAACACACACACACACACACACACACACCCAGACCGATTACATACATTTTCCTCACTTTTTTGTAGATTTTTTTTTTTTTCATACCAGGGATTGAACCCAGGCATGCTTAACCACTGAGCCATGACCCCAATCCTTTTTATTTATTTATTAAAATATTATTTTAGTTGTCAATGGACCTTTATTTTGCTGACAGTGCTGAGAATAGAATCCAGTGTCTCACACATGCTAGGCAAGCCCTCTACCACTGAGCCACAACCCCAGCCCTTATTTTTTTATTTTGAGACAAGTTTTCCCCAAGTTGCTGAGGTTGGCCTTGAACTTGTGCTCCTCCTGCCTCAGTCTCCCAAGTTGCTACTTGGCTTTTCTTTTTGTTTTTAATTTTATTTGAAATTTATTTTATGATGTGGCATTGGAGAGATTTTCACAAAGGAAATAACATTTCAGCTTTGTTGTTTCTGTCATTTGAATTCCTTTCAGGTTTAGCTAAAAGCCCCTACCTGGTACCTCCTGAGTAAATTGGGGCCTTTTGCTGCGTTAATCAAAACAACATAGAGAACTTCCTTCATCTTTGCTCATACTACTATTTATTTATTTATTTGGGGGTCCTGGAGAATCCAGGGCCTGGTGCGTACTATGCAAGGATTCTATCACTGAGTTACACCCCCATCCCTTATTGTAGGTTTAATCCCCCTTTCTGAGACGTTGGAGTCAGAGTAGTTCAGAAAATCTCAAAGCACTAGATCTGAAGCCAGAATTACTTTGGTTTTATGGCCTCTGTGTTTTCATTTCTCCAACAGAAATGGATGGGCAAGATCTTTCCTCATATGTAGAAAAGGCGGAATAATATTTCTCTATCCCACTGAGAGGATTAACTGCAGGGATTGTACTAAAACAGCACCTGAACCTGACAAAGGGCTCAATAACAATGGTAACTAACAGTTACTAATTTTATGACATTTTAGGCATTTAGAACGCTGTAGACCCAAAAAGGGAAGTAACTTGCCCAAAGACTTGGGCAAAGGTAATCAGGCCTGTACCTGGTGAACTCAGGTGAGACCTGTTACCTTCCCCTAAGCTCCGCCCCCACGACTCCGCCCAGTCCCCCCCCCCCCCCCCCCCCCCCCCGCATCTCCCTCGCCTCGGGGGCTGCCTTGGCCATATCCGGAAGCTCAGGGCTAGAAGCTACGGCTCGAGACGCGAGCGCGTGACGCAGGGGGGGTGGGTCTGAGAAATAGGATGCGCCGGGATAGGTCCATAGGTTCGCGCGGAAGGGGCGGATCGGGTCAGGGGGCGGGGTTTAGCGGGAGTAGGTCTTAAGGCCGGGCTTCCGCGTGCGTTGGTCTGGCGGGGGAGAGCGCGCGGCGGGGGCGTGTCCGGAGGCGGGGCGGGGCCAGCAGGGGGGCGGGGTTGCGCGCGGCCTAACGGCGGCGGCGGCGGCGGCGACGACAGCGGAGCTGGTGTTGGTGGGCTCCGTGCCCTCAGGTCCTGCGGCGGCGCCTGTGAGGCACCCGGGCCGCGGGCGGAGGCGCGCGGCGTGTGGCCGTCGGCGATGGTGGGCGTCCCTGGAGCGGCCGCCTTCCAGAGTAAGCTGGGAGGGAAGGCGGGCGGCTTAGGGGGGCGTGTGAGGGGCCTGCAGCTCCACCGACGCGAGGTTCCCAAGAGTTCCCGGAGCGAGGCCGGTATGGGGAAACTGAGGCCCTACGCAGGGCGGCGAGTCCAAGGTCACCGGGCGGGCCGGGCTTCGCGGGTCCCCGAGGCCACCCCTTCGCTTCCTGCGCCTCCGGGTGTCTAGAGGCTCAAGGTGTGAGTGAAACTGGGGACCGCGGCCTCGAAGCCCAGCCGGGCGGGCGTCCATCGGACTTGCGGCGGACAAGAATTGTTTTGTTCTCCAGGCGCTGGGGCCAAAAGTCCAGCTCTGGGGAAATATTACACACGCCTGATTATGAGAGCTGTGTGGTCAGTGCTGGAGCAGGTGAGAATGGCGCCGCAGAGGGGCCTGTTGCGTGCAGGCTCAGGGGTCGGACTGCCTAGGTTCCCATTCTCCCCCCCCCCCCCCCCCCCCCCCCCCCGCCGCCCCCATTCATGTCTGTCACCTTGGCTCTCCCCTGGTCTCAGTTACCCATCTGAAAAATGGGGGTGTGAAAAACGTTTTCTCCATTCTCCAGAGTTGGGTGTAGTGAAGCTAGAGGAATGATTGGCACACCCTGGCACAGACACCAGCGTGAAAACTGTCATTATTGTAATCGCAGTTTATTAATCATTCTGTGTGAACCTCACTTGGAATAGTCTGAAATTGGACTCTTGGTTGGGTATTTAAGATTTTATGTGGTCGTTGGTTAGTCGTACTCTATGATCCAATTGTCCAATTGTTATTCTTACCTCCATTTCGCCATTCCAGCATTTATCGAATGTACCTCCTAGACTTGTGAGATCCTTGGGGGAAGGGTGACATCTTTTAATAAGAACAATAAAATTTTAATTGTTTTAAGTCTTTTTCATTAGAATAGCAATAATAGCCAACAGTTTTCATGCACGAGGCATTTTACAATTCTATTCATTTAATATTTATTAAATCATCTCTTGAGTAAAAAGTACCATTCTAGGCCCTGAAAAATATAGCAACAACAACAAAAAAAGATGGACCAGACTGCTTTTGAGTTTAGTTGAGAGAAGGAAGAGACCCAGTAAATGAAGAAACAGATAAATGGTTTCTCAGTTGTTTAAGCATTGTGAAAATCTAAAGAGCTTTGTATTTAAATACACCCATTTTGCAGAGGATGAAACCGAGTGACATTAGAACTCTAGCCCCAAAGCAGTGTTCTTCACCACATAATAAAAGGGAAGCCTTACAAAAATTGTGGTATATATGTGTGTTAAGAATTGTAATGCAAAAACAGAAAGGTACATGTATAAAGGCATGAATTGGCGTGAACATACTTTATATACAGAGGTATGAAAAATTGTGCTCTGTATGTATAATAAGAATTGTAATGCAAAAAAAAGGGGGAAAGTTTTATGCAGCCTTTATTCCTTCTTTGGTACCCCTTAAATGTTGCATTGAAGAAATACAAAGTAGATTTAGTTTATGCATTTCCTAGTTAGATCTGCAGTTGCTGGTTTTGGTTTGAGCCATACCTTTTGAAATTTATCAATAGAGACACAGATAGGTGACCCCACAAGTTTGGATCTTTTATCTGAACTTAATTTTTTTTTTCCTTTTGCTGTGCTGGAGATTGAACCCAGGAACACTCTACTACTGAGCTAAATCCTCAGCCCCCTTTTATTTCTTTTTTGTACCGGGCACTTGACAACTGAGCCACATTCCCAACCCTATTTTGTATTTTATTTAGAGACAGGGTCTCACTGAGTTGCTTAGCACATTGCTTTTGTTAGGCTGGGTTTGAACTCAAGATCCTCCTGTCTCAGCCTCCTGAGCTGCTGGGATTACAAGGCATGTGCCAAAGTTTCTCTAAATTGCCCAGACTGGCTTCAAACTTGCTGTCCTCCTGCCTCAGCCTCCTGAGTAACTGATATTACAGGCATGTGCTACCATGCCTGATTGAATTTAAAATTTTTATATCTAAATATTTTGTTTTTATAAGTACTTTTGGTTCTGTTAATGTAACTTTTTCTTTTTTTTCTTTTGTAGTACTGAGGCTTTAATGCTGGGGCTACCTACTACTGAACTAAAATCCCAACCCTTTTTTGTGAAAGGTTCTCGTTAAATCCTCAAAACTTGCCTCAAACTTGAAATCTTCCAGGATAGCTGGGATTGTAAGCATGTACCACTTTCACTTGGTATACTTTCTCTTTTTCTTTCTATTTTTTGAGACAGGGTCTTTTGCCAGATAACCTCTAACTCCCAATCTTTCTGCTTCAGCTTCTCAGGATTTTATAGGCATGTGCCACCACACCCTACTGTACTTTTTCTTTTAATCTAGAAGAATCAAGTAAATTGCATTGAAATATGATAGTATTGCCAGGTTTGGTGACATGTGCCTATAATCACAGCTGCTAAGGAGGTTGAGGCAGGACGATCTAGGCCAGTTTGGGCAGTTTGTCTAGACCCTGTTCAAGGCCAGCCTGGGAAGTTGTCTAGACCCTATCTCAAAATTTAGAAAAGGGCTGAGGATGTAGCTTAGTGCTTGCCTAACATGTGAAGGCCCTGAATTGAATCCCTAGTATGACACACATACAAAAAAATTTATAGTTGTAGTTTATATATATTTTGTAACATGCAACATTTTACAAAAGAATGAGCTAAAAATAAATATTTGTAGAAGTTCCAGTATTGTCTTTTCACATCCCAGTGTGTGAATAGTAACTATTCCTCTGGTGATGGAGATCATTGATCTTATAGTGGCACCTTTCCTTCAACCCATTAGGTCTGCTACTCCTGAAAAAAAAAAAATCTGGGGGCTGAGGTTGTGGCTCAGTGGTAGAGCTCTTGCCTAGCACTGGTGAGGCTGGGTTCAATTCTCAGCACCACATAAACAACAACAACAAAATAAAGATTAAATTCTAAAAAAAAAAAAAAATCTGGCTTATTCAATAGAAGTATAATGTGGCACATGTCTGTAATCCCAGTGGCTAGGGAGGTGGATTGCAAGTTCAAAGCCAGCCTCAGCAATTTAAGCAACTCAGTGAGACCCTGTCTCTAATAAAAAAAAATACAAAGTAGGACTAGGGATGGGGCTCCGTGGTCAGGTGCCCCTGAGTTAAATCCCTGGTACCCCCCCCCAAAAAAAAAAAAAAAAAGAAGTAGTAAAATGTAACAGTTTAGCTTGAAATTCTAAACTTTTGAAATTAATTCTAGAGTTGGGCATAGGTTGAAAACCTGGTGGGTAGTCCTTATAAGCCTTTTTTTTTTTTTTTTTTAAAGAGAGAGAGAGGAAAATGAGAATTTTAATATTTATTTTTCAGTTTTCGGTGGACACAACATCTTTGTATGTGGTGCTGAGGATCGAACCCGGGCCGCACGCATGCCAGGCGAGTGCGCTACCGCTTGAGCCACATTCCCAGCCCTTTTTTTTTTTTTTAAATTAAGGATTGAACCCAAAAATGCTTAAACATTGAGTCACATCCCCTGCCCTAAAATATTTTATTTAGAGACAAGATCTCTGAATTGTTTAGGGCCTCAAGTTGCCGAGGCTGGCTTTGAACTCTCCATCCTCCTGCCTCAGCCTTCTGAACTGCTGCTGGGATTACAGGTGTGCACCACTGTGCCTGGCCAGTCTTTATAAGCTTTGAGACTTTGGAACTTTCTCTACACTTTATTTTCCTCATCTGTGAAATTGAGACAATGAAAGTTCTTACATTAAGCCTGATGCAGTGGGACATGCCTAATGCCAGCTGCTCCGGAGGCTGAGGCAGGAGGATTGCAAGTTTGAAGCCAGCCTGGACAATTTAGCAAGACCCTGTTTTAAAAGGAGAGGATTTAGCTAAGTGGTAGAGCATGCCTGGGTTCAATCCCAAGTAACACACACACAGCAGTCCTACCTCATTTAGAGTTTTTATTTAAAAAAAAAATTTTTTTTTTTTGTTTGTAGATAGACAAAACATCTTTGTTTTATTTATCTATTTTTATGTAGTGCTGAGGATTGAACCCAGTGCCTCATACATGCTAGGGAGGCAATCTACCACTGAGCCACAACCCTACCCCCTCATTTACAGTTTTATTGCCATGATTAATAGTTTGTTGTTTTGGTACTGATGATTGAACCTATGGGCACTTTACAACAGAGCTACATCCCCAGTTTTTTTATTTTTTTGTGGTACTGGGGATTGAACCCAGGATCATTCTACTAGTGAGCTACATCCCAGCTCTTTTTATTATTATTATTATTTTATATGTAATTTAACCCCTGAGCCACATTTTCAGACCTTTTTATTTTTTTCATTTTGAGACAGGGTCTCACCAAGTCGTTTAGGGCCTCACTGAGTTGCTGAGGCTGTCTTTGAACCTGGGGTCTTCCGGCCTCGGCCTCCCGAGTTGCTGGAATTATAGGGGTGCACCACCATGCCTGGACCTTTATTTTTTATTTCGAGACAGAGTCTTGCTGTTACTTAGGGTGACCTGCAACTCCTGGGCTCAAGTGATTCTTCTGCCTCAGCTTCACAAATTGCTGGGATTATATGCATGCCATGCACTGGGCAAGAGTAATATATGTTAATGTGATGTTTGTGTTAATTTATGTAAACAACTTAAACAATGCTTGATAGACTGTTTTGTTTGCTTTTTGTGGTTAAGGATACAAAAAGATGACTTAGGATCTCAGTCTATGGGGACTTAAACAGTTATAAAGTGCTTTCAATGTTATAATCAAAGGCTTTTGGGATACAAAGGAAGCATAACTAGTTGTTCTTTGAGGGTTTAAGTAAGGACTGGGTAAAGAGGTAGGTAACATTTACAGAGGCTTTAAACCAGCCCCAGCAACTTATAATCTTCATCAGAACAATATATGACAAGACTGGGGAGGCTGAGGCAGGAGGATCATAAATTTGAAGCCAACCTCAAGCAATATGGCAAGGCCCTAAGCAACTTTGTGAGACCCTGTTCTTTTTTTTTATTATTATTATTTAT